TCTTAATGGATTTAGTTGTGTGAGTTTTTAATTGTTTGAAACTTCACGACCAAGAGCAGTAACTTGATTTTTGTATGGTATCTGCACATTGGCAAAGGTGCCATTTTAAAAGAGACACTCTCTCCTATAGTGGTAGAAAAGAGCAAGAGTCCAGTAGCACCTTAAAGACTAACAAAATTTGTGGCAGGGTATGAGCTTTTGAGCGTCACTGCTCACTTCTTCAGGAAGTGCATACCCTGCCACAAATTTCATTAGTCTTTAAGGTGCTAGTGGGCTCTTGCTCTTTTGTACCGCTACAGACAGACATGGCTACCCCTTGATCTGTGCGCTCCTATGTGCAACAGATGCGGGAATACTTCCTCGAAGATGGCTGCAGCCCCTTTCAGTGTTTGTAAATAGTGGTAGAAAAGGTAGTTTCATTTAAAAAAAAAAAAAGAGTGATAAAACTCTGCTGCCCCCTTACTTGAGAGTGTTTCTTTGACTAATATAATAGGTTTTGATTGGTTGATTTAACAAATTAATCTTTGAAAACAGGGCAGAGCCACTGTGGTGTGCCCTAGGACCGGAGGATACGGAGGTTGAAATCCAGCTCTTAGGCTGAGAGAGACTGGCCTAACCTACCTCACAAAATGCGTTAGGATAAAATGGAGGAGGGGAGAGCTGTGAAGCGACTGGGAGGAAGGGCGGAATAAAAATGTCGCACGTGGTCCTAATGAAGGCAGTGCATCTTTTCAGTCAACAGTGAGGTCTCCGTGGCATGCATGTGGCACCACAGGCCATTTTGCTTGCCAGCCAGGGCCAGATGTCCTCCCAAGCAACCGAGGCACTGCTGGGGCTAGTGGCACAAGGGGAAGGCAAAGCCACGGCCTGTGCCCCCCCCCCCAATCGCCTCTCAGACCTGAACAGCTGAGTCCAAAGAGAATCCCTGAAATGTTGGCCATGCTGCTGGGTTTGGTTTGCTCCAACTCTCTGGTTCCCCTCCTCACCCACTACCACTATTTTGGTTGTTGGCACACTGACATATTTACAGGAACACTTTGCTTCCCCATCCCAGCACTTGGGCCAAAAAAAGGTCGCCTACCACTTTTCTGGATCTTTGAGCTTGAGCCCTCGTTAATTAAAACAGAGGAATAAGTACACATAAACAATAGACATGTTTTGTCTCAGTACCAAAGAGGATCTCTTGAACAAATGAAGCATGTTGACAACTCCAGCCAAACAGAAGTTTCAGAGACATTTTTCTTTCCCTGTCGAAAAATCTTTATACTCCTAAGAGGTTAACTTTGGTCAGACTCAGCCGGTGTCTTTTTTGTCCAGGGTTCCAGATAGATTCATCATCAGCTGAAACCAGAACAAGTTTCAGCCTGTCAGAGAAGTGGGGAGGGTGTTTACATGGTAACTTCAGGGAAATATGAATAGGGAGTGGGAGAGGAGAATAAACAGGATAAGCATTTCGTGTTTTACAACAAACGTCCCATAGTTACTGCACCCCCCCCCCCAAATAAAAACACACACACAAAAAAAGCTAGCTGTATTGTGGTAATACAGGTTTAAACACAGAGTCAGTGACAACATGCTGGAATGTTAAATAAACTTGAAAGGCTTTTTCTTTGATTGTAACCAGAAGAAAATGATCAGTACATAGCAGGATTCTTTCTGATAAGAGCTTTGATGGAATTGCCTCACTGTCGTGTTGAGGTGGGGCAGATGGCTCCGTTTTGACAATAACTCCTGTTTTGTTGAGGTACTTCAGCTAGAAGCTACCACCATGCATTTTTGCCAAGGCCCACTCCAGGGAGGCTCTGGCAGAAAAATCAGAGGCAACAAAGAGCCTGAAACTTGTTACACTGTTCATCTGGAATTCTGACAAGGCTGTTGTTGAAAGCAGACGAAAAGTTTCTGCTGACTGTCCAGGGACCACAGTGTTCTGGACTTGTCAGGGTAGAAGGGACGGTCTACACAGCTGGCAACCCCTCGGAGCGCATGTGGCCAGGGCCTGATAAGCCCAGTCTACATGTTACATTCACTGTACAGAGGAAGCTGAAGATGGCTTTCCCCGGGAATCCTGGGCCAGGGTAGATTCTTCATGCCAATATCGTAGCAAGGGCTATCTCTCTGGAAGGTTCCCATGGCAGCACTTTTCGTTTTTGATCCTGGCCAGTGCTAGCATGAAATAGGCCCCGGTCACACGAGAGGTTTTGGGCCAGGAGAGGGACGGATCGGGGGCGCAGCAAACGGGCGCGATCCCACCGCAACATCTGGGAAGCGTTGCGCACCCGTCCCCGATCTGGCCCTTCCGCCCAAAACGCCACAGCAAAAATAAACCACCTACCGAGGTGGTTCTTCCGGCAGGGCCGCATCAAGGCCGGCCGTGGGATCGCCGGCACGTCCTTCCGCCGGCGCATCCCCGGCTCCTGGCCCAACTGCGCATGCTCACACATGCGCAGTTCAGCAGCCTCCCCCTCCCGACCATGGCTTCCTCCCCGGCATCTGATCGTGCCGGGGAGCAATGGCGCTGCGGCTCACGGGATCCGTGGGATCCTGCCACGGCGTCTCTATTTTGGTGCGGCTCTGATTAGCCGCACTTTGCCCGTTGTTTTTTCTGCCGTGTGGCAGGGACCATAGTAGCCCTTTTCAGTCATTGCGTTTTACCACGATCCTTCTGATACATCCTTTTCACCTTTTTTTTCCTGAAAGGGGGCAATGTGTGTATTTTCAGCCAGGGTACATGCATACCAAAACTCTTAGGGTTCTGGTATACCTGTATTGAAGCCGAAAATACATAAATTGCTCCTTTTAGGAAAAAAAATGGCTTACATGTATTGGTAAGATTGTGTGTAATGTGTTATGTGGTAAACAAAGATTGAAAAGGGTGAATGTTAACCAGTTTTTTCAGCACATTAATGAGCTACATGGAAGGTGTGGAGAGACACTTAAGAAATAGGCCAGTCTTTGGCAGCTAGATCCATAATTTAGACCTAATGGATGGGGGCCAATGTTCCCTCTAAGCTGTGGAGTCTTGTGAGCAAAAATTCTACTTTGTGAGCCACCGGCATTAAAGTTGTGAGCGAGCGATTTGGCTGCTGCATAAATCAGTCTGCTCTGTAGCCATCCTTCCTGAGCGGAGACAAAAATGTGTGAGCCAGAGGCTAAAAAACTGTGAGCTAGCTCACACTAACTCAGCTTAGAGGGAACACCGATGGGGGCCACGATAAAGTGACCAGGCCTGATCTGGTTTCTTACCCTGAAATGGCTTCCTGTGGTGTTTGTCTACTGCCACAATTGGGTCACTCTGGCATCCTTTCTGGAAAGGGGAAGGTGTTGTGTGGATAAGTTACCTAGGAACGGGCCGCATAAACCCTTTCTTGACAGTCTGCAAACAGAGGAGATGCATACTGGTAACTTCTAAGACAACCATGTGTTCACTGCCTTCCAGAACTGACCTTTGGCTGTCATGAGAGAGCAAGGGTCAGCAACATTTAAAAAAAATTTATCACCGAAGAGCCAAACTGTGTCACAGTTTCTTTATTATTAGTCCGCCTTTCTTGCTGATACTCTAGGTGGGTTACAGGAAATAAACAACCAGTGAACAATGCAATGGGACTAAGATTTCAGAATTAGGAAACAATGCAAACGACAAACCGAGGCAGGTAAACTTGTAACTCAGGAAGCAGATTAAAAGGTAAAGGCAAGGCAGTCAAAGGATACCTACAATAAGTATTGCAGCAGACTATTCCATTATAAAGGTGTCCTCCCATGCTGTTCATTCTACTACAGTTCTAATCTCTTTAAAAATGTCCTCTTAGAGGGAGCCTTGTCCTCTTGAACATGATGGTTTTGCACATTACGCAGAAAGACAGAAGTGTGGAAGCTTCCCTAACTTCCTCAGGCAGGCCATGTCAGAAGGTGGAAGACACTGCTGAGAAAGCATGTCGAACAGGCAGCTAATAATTTTACACATTTGCAGGGGGGTATCTTTAGAAGGCTTTCCTCCGATAAGCATAGTGGGAGAGGTGGTCCTGCAAGTATGTGGGTCCCACAGCCATTCAGGGCTTTGTAGGTGACAAATCAGAACCTTGAACTCAGTGACTGGTCAGTAGAGTATCTGCAGAACAGGTGTGACATGCATGTTTCTCCTGGTGGTTGACAGAAGAGGAGGAGGAGGTGGTGGTCGTGGTTTTATACCCCAGTCTTGACTACCCAAAGGAGTCTCAGAGCAGCTTACAATTGCCTTCCCTTCCTTTCCCACAATGGACACCCTGTGAAGTAGGTGGGGCTGAGAGAACTGTGACTGACCCAAGGTCACTGAGGAGCAGCTGAACTGAGCTGGCTTCATCTGGAGCAGTGGGGAATCAAACCTGGATCTCCAGATTAGAGTCTACCTCTCTTGACCACTGTACCACGCTGGCTGCAGTGCTCTGCGCTAACTGCAGCTTCCAGGTTGACTTTAAGGGCAGACCCATGTAGAGTGCATTACAGTAATCTAGCCTCAAGGTAAACATACCCTGGATCCACACAGCCAAGTCAGTTGAGTCAAGGTAGGGGGCCATCTTAAAGAAGCTGGTAGAATGCCTTCTTTTATGCAGCTGCATTCACTTGCTTCTCTAGTAGTAGTGCTGGATCCAGTATAAGTTTCTGCTGCCCCAATACTGGCTGTTGTGAGTCCTTTGTTAGGAAGCAGCACACATAATACCTCAAGTAATAAATATACATAGCATGGCTTATCATTCTACTGATTTGTGAGTATTCAGAAAGCATTTACTTTGGCAGGGCTGGCAGTAGAACGCTGAAGTAGGCGAGTCCTTATACTCTTAAGAATTTATAGCTAAGCATTCCGCAATTTCCGTAGCTGGGTTTAAAACCTTCAGTGTTTGTTTTTGCTTTCCTGTGGAACGCCTCTAGATCTTGTTGCACAAACATGGTATAAAGTGCCCCAGCGATTCTTCCATCTTTGGAAAAGTAATCTAACAATATCTTCTTTTTTTTTAACAACCCTACAGGCTCACGCATCACTTTATCTACCCTCAAGCGATCGTCCAGCCCAGCGTGGTCATCCCGACGCCTGTCCAGTCCATCACATCTCCATATATAGACTACACGACCGCAAGCCAAGCCTATACACAGTTCACCACAGCTGCCTATGACCAGTACCCGTATGCCGCTTCCCCCGCTGCTGGCTTCATGGGGTACGGCTACACGGGCGCAGTTCAACAACCTCTCACATCTGGCAACCCGACGGTAGCGCCCCCAACAGCCTTCGTGCAGTACCAGCCTACGCAGCTGCAGCCAGATCGTATGCAGTAGAGGCCTGGCCTGGAATCCTCTTCTTTTCTGGGAAGACTGTTATTTTCTTTCCTTCTGTGATGGAATGGGAAGGTGTAAAAAAAAAAAAAGGAAAAGGAAGAAAAAAATAAGAAATTTCTGTGGAACAACAAAGGAAGCAAAAAAAATGAAATAAAAAATTAAAAGCTTTTAAAAACCAACCTTATTAGGAATGCATATCAATACCTAAGCTATTTATAGTGTTACAGACAAGTTTTTAAGTCCTTGCAGAAAGACTTACACATGCAGCAATGGGCTATTTTTTTTTTTTTATCAAGACAAATAATGTTGCAAAGATGGACTGAAAATGACTTCACAACGTGAAAACTACAGGTTCTTGCACACTTAATAGCAGTCTACTTCCATTGCCTATCTTTTTTTCTCACTCCTGTTTTTTAAAACTTCTCTGTATATCCCTTAGCCGATCAAGTTCTATCGTCTGGTTACTTAACCCCTCAACACACAAGGTACTCGGAGAATACAGAAATGGAAAAAAAAAATGCAAACCTTTTGTTGTTGTTGTTGTATTAAAAGAAAAACCTTTGTAATACTCAGAGATGCCTTACAGAGAAAAAAAAAGAACCTATTTTAATATTTATTGTGATCTTTTTATTCGCACGAGCTGTGAATTGCGGATGGAACATCTGCCTTCTTTAATTTCTCAACTAAATTATTGTATGTAGGTGGGGAGGGGGGAGTCGCTAAGTAAGTGCTAAATCACTTTTGACATGCAAAAAGGGAATATTGGCTTTAAGGACAGCAGAATATTCCTTTAGTCAACGCACTGTTAAATTTTTCTTATTGTAATTATTACTCTGTTATCTCAAAGTTTAGGTATATTTTTAAATGCAAAAAAAAAGAAGGAAAAAAAAAAGAGGAATACTGAACATATTGTCTACTTTGATAGATCTTTTGTTATAATGCTGCAAAGTCTAGAAAAATCCTACAGTATTTATATAAAAGCTAAGCAGCATGTGGAGTCACGGGGCCCACGGTGCTTAGGAGAACGTCAGGATACAGATCAGAGTTTTAAAGCGGTGTTACACACTTGAACAAAAGGGTTTTTAAAATGTGACACTTTTGATGCCTCATGGTACAACAGCTGATGAAGTGAAAAGAAAACAAGACCGTGTAAGTTAAGTACATTTTTACAAAAAAAAAGAAAAAAGAGCAATAAACTATTTTGATTTTTAAAACAACTCAGTGCTCTGTTATATACCTCTGTAGCCAGTGCTGTGTTATCTACTACGTGGCACATTTGCCCAGGTGGAGTTTAATGTGGCTGCAGTTAAGTAATAGGAAAATGCCTTGCTCAAGAGGGTATGCACGCACATGCAGAAGGAGATCTTGTGTATTACAATGAATCTGAGAAGATGGGCCTCATGTGGAGACCTTGTCAGTGAGGGCAATTTGCCCTCCGTGGAGGGTGAAAGGGCAGTTTTGCCCTCATTGTAATACTGAGCCGTCTCCTCCCCCCCACACACGTAAGAATGAATGGCAGCCATTCACTTACATAGGAGAAAGAGGTATACTTAAGGAGGGGACACTGGAGGAGCAGCTGAACTGGACCATGGGAACCACCTGTGACAGGGAATAATGTTACTTTGTGGTCACATGACCGGAAGATACTTGCCTTTGCTAAAATGGAATCTTCTCCATGGAGTGATCTCATGTCACTATGCTGCTGCTGTTGCTTTCTTAGTAAGCATGCAAAAAGAGGCAAGTCATGTGGCACCCCTGTTGTCTGCAGATGATGCACTAGTAACAGATCCTTCCAAAAGCAGGGGGGGAAAAGAGAGAGAGAGATTTATGGAGGCCCGTGATCCACCTAAAGCGCCCATTCAGTGAGTTGAAGGACCACTACTCTGAAGTGCGACAGGTTGGGAATGGGCTTTTTATTGACACACAGCCCTCTGAAAGTCTGTTTAATGCAGAATGGTGAATCGGTGCTTCATGTGAGGTGCTGACGATCACATCCTGTGGAGCAACAGTGTTCTTAGAACTGGTCCCAAGCATGACGCAGCTAGCTAGCTGAAGGGCAAACCCTAATCATACCAACGCCCACCCACTTCCCAGTCCGTGAAATGGTGGTGAGTGACCGGCCTGCCTCACAGGGTTGTTATGAGGATTCATGAGATGAAAAACATTGCTTGCCCAGGATTCTGGGCAAGTCTATATTTTCAAATTAAGGTGACAGAGAGGTCTGAATCACATGGGCCCACGGTTTCCCCTGCACCTCCCTAATAATGTGTAATTGAGAAATCTGCATAACGATATGTATTTACTTCATTTATACCAGGGGAGGCCAAACTTGCTTAATGTAGGAGCCACATAGAATAAACTTCAGATGTTTGAGAGCCACGAGACATGAACAGATATTATACATTTTTACTGGGAAATAGGCAAATTTACTTTTTCTTAACATTAAATGTGACTGCCAAAAATAACAAAAGAGGTAAAAGCAAATATTGATAATGATATCTATTTGTCCAATGGTATTTGTTTGCTAATGATATTTAGCTTCTCCAGTTGCCCTGCCGGGAGCCACACAATACATGTGAAAGAGCTGCATGTGGCTCCCAAGCCACAGTTTGGCCACCCCTGATTTATACCATGCCTTTCTCCACAGTGGGGACCGAAAGCTGCTTGTGTTATTTTCCTTTCACTTTTCCCACCTTGTTTGGTTGGCTTTCACTTGTGGAAAGTGAGGAAGACTTAGGCATCATGTGACACCAGGCCCGTAGCCATGGTGGGCATTTGGGGGCAGAGCCCCACCATGAATGAGCTGTGCTCTACCCTGGGAGGATCCCAGACCACCCCACCCCAGTGCACCACGCCACTTACCCCTGCCCCTCCACGGCCTCACCAGTTCTTCCAGGGAAGCCGCCCTGTGGCTTCTGGCCAGTTTTACTCCCTGCCTAAACCTAACCGCTGATGGGGGGGGAGTGAAACTGACCAGAAGCGGCAGGGCAGCATCCCTTTCGTTCCCCAGCCTTCCTGCTGCCGTAGGGGACGGGGTTGGGGAAGGAAAGAAAGAAAGTGAAGGTATGCCTTCTCTCTTCCCCAGCCCCGGCAGCGGCAGGGAGGCTGGGGAAGGAAAGGGAAATCATCCTACTACTTCTGGTCCGTCCACACACACACCCCCAAATTTTCTGGCTATGGGGCTGTGTCACACCCTCATAAGAACATAAGAGACGCCAATGTTGGATCAGGCCAAAGGCCCATCCGGTCCAACACTCTGTATCACACAGTGGCCAGAAATACCAGGTGCCCTCAGGAGGTCCACCAGTGGGGCCAGGACATTAGAAGCCCTCCCACTGTTGACCCCCCCAAGCACCGAGAAGACAGAGCATCACTTGCCACAGAGTCCCTATCTATACCTTGTGGCTAATAGCCACTGATGGACCTCTGCTCCATATGCTTATCTAATTCCCTTTTGAAGCCGTCTATGCTTGTAGCCGCCACCCTCCCCTCACCAATTTAACTACCCATTTCTGAAGAGATGGAGGTTCATCAGGCCCATTTTCTCCATAACAGAGACGGAGGAGAGGAGCAGTTTGAACTGCCTCAGTTATGCTGCAAAACCAGCACCTTGCCGGGGCCGCATCCAGCCTGGAATCTTTACTTCAAGCAAAGAGCTTCTCGCGTGGTATTTGTAGCCAGTGATTGTTCTCACTCGGGTTTCTCATTCCTTGATCAATTTGTCTGTGTAAATCCTTGCTTTCGACAGCCGAGACAACATCTTTTCTCAGTTACAATGGGAAGCATGCTTCGCCCCAAGCACAATGCCTGTGCGGAGATGTGGGAGCATTGCTTTCTGCGTGTGGGTGGCACATGCCTCCTGACTGGAAGCAGATAACACCCAGAATATTAACTCCTGCACTGCCCAACCTATAAAACGGAGATAACTGTGGCCCAATACACAAGGTTGTTGTGGGGCATATATGCGATGAAAAATATCGCTTGCTCAGTGCGTTGGGTACAGGGCAGTTTATATTTTCACATTAAGGCAGTTTGTCCCCCTTTTAGGGCAAGTAAACCACATTTTTGTAATGGGTGCCATTGGCTCAATCAGTTATGCAGGGCATTCCCAGGTCGCAGGACTATTACCTGCCCTCAGAGGAGCTTAATTTCAAACAGGCATGGCTATTGCAATTGTCCTCGCTCTCCAAAGCTCTCCAACACACCCTCATGTGATCTGACCCTGATTGAAATGCGCAGCCCACGATTTCTCCAAGGGCAGCAGGCACTAACAGCCTTTGAGGGGGGAAATCAAATACTTTCTCATGAAATAAATGCCAGCACTGGTGGATGAATGGAGGAGGACAGATTGAAACCCTGCTTATTAAAAAAGCCAACCCACTTAAAAAAAAAAAAGATCTTTGCGTTGCTTCGTTGGGCTTCAGTGAGTCTTCGGGAAAGGAAGTTTGACCGCTCGGGTGCAGCGAAAGAGAATATTTCTCTGGGCGCCTTGCCTTGGCAATGGATGGAATTGAGGAGAGATCGTTCGCGACAAAGGGCAAAGGTTGCATTGGAATGAAGGGAACGAAGCCGTGGGATGGGAACACTTATCGGGCAACGAAGGGGCATTCTGGGAAGGAGTGGCCGTCTGTGGGGGGGCTCTTGGCAAGGGAGAGGCGTTTTGTCATTTGGAAGCTGTAGAAGAGCAGTGTCCCACGTCACTCCCTTTCAACAGCAATATGGGGACTGGAATGACTGTGCTCTAAGATGGCAAATTTTGTGTTCTTCCCACCGTGGGACCTTCTTTATAACTACTTTATAAGCCATCGCCGTCTCTTCCCCAAGCAAGGCATTCCCTTTCCAAGCACCATATATAAACTCGTTCATTGCATGGATCGTAAACAAACCTGCCTTCGAGGAGGAATTTGACAGGGGTAGCTGTGTTCGTGTATTGTAGCACGCAGTGACTTAACCATTATCGTGCTTATTGTGGCACAAACCTCCATGTGTTTAGTGCCCACATCAATGTTACGCTCAGCCGACAGAGATCCAAAGAAAAAGTAATCTGTTGGGCCAATGCAAAAACGATAGCAGCGTTTTCTGTCATGTACCTAGA